ATCACAGTTTTTGTGCATGATCGCTGACAAATAAAGAATAAAACTAAAATGCTTCTTTCTGCTGTGTTAGACTTAAACCCAGTCTGGGAACCTGGCCCATTAAAGATGCAATTGTTGGCTGCAGCATATTGCCAAAAGCTGAACTGCCATAATAATGAGAAAACACACTCTTGCCAAATGTCTTTGATATGTGCCAATGTTTTGGGGATAAAGACGCCCAGTGGCCTGTAAAAATGGGTGATGTACATTAATCCTTTCTGTCTCGTTGTGTTTCTGCAGGAAGCAGTGAAGATGGAGACAAAGAATAAGAAGCTGTGGATATTTCCTGCTTCTTTGTGACAACAACTCGGTCTACTAGCATGACTACTGATTTCATTTTTAACGTCAGGTTTTAGAAACACAAGACAGTGCCTCTTACCGCCTGTGGACACTTTTGAAAGGTCCGTCTCACCACCACGTAGGACTGACCTAAGCTGTTTAGAATACTGAAAAGAGAATTGTTAATATATAATATTTCAAGAATATTAATATATACGGTGTGTATGATGAGTTTAAGGAAGCAGGGGGAACTTGTATGTTGAATCTACATATTTTTTTGGATTAAAGAAACAATGTGGAAGGACAGACCTTTGAAAAGCGTTACATTTGCCACTTTCTAATTCATCACGGGGAGCATTCATAAGAGTGTGGAGCCACCTGGACTTTAAAGAAAGAGGACTGTTAAACTGTTGCTGAGTAAAAGACACAATGTCAACTTTCTGACTTTTCAACAAAGGATCAGCACTTTGAACAAGACTGTACAGCTCCGCAGACTTTATACTTTTTAGGAAATGGTTTTACCAGTATTAATAACGAATATCAAAAAGAATCTTTAAAGTATCGCAAGTAATATAATGTCAGTATTTGGGATCATTCAGAGACGTGCTCGTGTGAAAGATGGAAGCGTAGGGGATCCTAATGGCTGTCTGCTTACAGGATGTTTTCTGTTTTTTGAGGAAACAGCTGAGCAACCTTGACAACCTAATAATTATTTGTGACTTTTTTCATTGTCACATCAGGACCGCGACTGTACTGTTTTACACAAACATCACTCTATTTACCCAACTGGGCGCCAGCACCACAATCGCAGCCAACTCCTCTTTACTGTAAGCATCAGACACAACATTGTGACTATAATGGGAAGAAGTACAGAAGTTTCTTATAATATAGCAATGCATGGTTTCACATTTACAAGAATTTACGGCTAAGAAACAAAAGGAAAGTGTTTTTATTTTTAAGGCAGGTACACAGGTCATTAAAACTGACATCGACTGAACCTAGCAGTGATGTAAGCCAGTAGGGGTGGGCAATATAATGTAATATTTTATCATGATGGATCTTCAGCTCAAAAATATAGACAAAACGTCTGTTTTGGTTAACCAGCAGATGCCTGACAAATCAAGGCACTTCATCACATTGATGCAAAGATACTGTTAATCCAACATTGCTAGAGAGCAGTAATACTCACTGACATGCGAGAAGCCTACGGAGGTACTGAAGGCATATATCCCTTTTCCACCGACACAGTGTTGGTTCACAGTATTTATAAAAGTAATTGTTTAGTAACAGAAAACTGCTGGGCCTGCTGGTGTCAGTGGTCATGGGAGGGGAATGTACCAAAAACCACAGTTCCCATCATGGCCACTTGAGGCTGGCTCCAATAGGAGTCAGTTCCCATAAACTCCCATGTATAAAAAATTCAGCTTTACAGCCTTAATAAGCACGAGTCCAGCTTGGCACAAAAATGGTTTGGGCCTCTAAAGATAAATTTTGGTATTGTTGCATTTTTTGTTTTGCTTTTATTAACTCAAGGTCACTGCATGACCTTCACCCCTCAACTGAGTGTAAAGCAGCTGGGATGAGTGTCAGCACCTCTAACTATGAGTTATGGTTCATCCTCTATTCATCAGGAGGTGGAGGATGAGATGGATTCGTTAAACATCAGCAGTGATGTGGGTGTTGTACTGGGTTTTTTATTTAAGTCTATGTTCCAACCCTCATCCCTGGTCATGATGTCAAGGTAATGACCGGAAGATTAAGGTAGGGAATACAAGTGGACACGTTTCCCCTGCAGGGTGTCTTTGTTCAGCTTTAAAGATGTGGTTGAGGTCATTTGGATATCCGGTTAGGGGATCACCTGGGAACTTCTTTCAAGCACACTCAACTGAGAGGTGACACCAGGCTAGACCCAGAATCCAATGGAGAGATCTCACCTGACCTGGGAAGGTCTCAGGATTCCCCAGTCCAAACTGAAAGTGATGTTGTGGAGAAGGACATCTTGAATACCTTTGCTTGCTGCCACCATTACAAAACTTTAAATAAGTGGACATGAATGGATGGATGGATGGATGGATGGACGGACGGATGGATGGATGGATGGATAACTCCATCTCAATACAGGAGTTTAGGGGCGTAGCTGCTTTTCATACCTTCACCCTCCAAATAAATATCTGTCTCCAAAGAAAGGCATGGTAGAGTGAAAAACCACAACGCTGCCAAACCGTCACAATGGTTCTCAAAAGACTCCAAGGCAGAACTGCCAGGAACGCCAGCACCACATTGGTGGAAAAGCAGTAACAGATACCGTGGTAGAAACATTTTTTCATTGGTGAGTACCATCATATTGCCCATCCCTACACGCTAACACCTCAAATTACCCAACAACATTTAAATACTGTCCGGTTTTTGTCTGCACTGAGGTTTGTCTGAACAAATGTGATTTTTGTGTTTGTAAATCAGCACATTATCGATCCAGTATTTCTCTGTTTCTGACCATTTACCCATCATGTTACAATAATTCTAGGATTAGAAGTTGAACTGTTGGACTTTTTCAGACTAACAGGAAAAGACGAATCCCTTTGAGCCTCATTGTTGTTAAGCGAGACTCTAATTTATAATTAAGCCTCACTGGTCTGATCAGCTTGTTGAAAGGCCACAGAGGGCTGATGTCATGATGATAAGAAAATGCTGTCATGCTTTGCTCTGTTTGTAAAACTGTGAGAAAGACTGATGGGTTGGTGTGTTTGCTGGACGGAAAAGTTTGATTCCACCTTTGAAAGAGGCCCGGTGATCAACATGTAGTGTCTTAAATGTTTGTTTGCCTTCCAAGGCTTTAATATTCTGTAACAGTTTAGCATAGAAACATCTAGATGGCTGTCCGTAATATTTTTGTATCTCAACAAAAATACTTTTTAGAGTATTGCTGTACTGTATCTGTGAGGGAGGGAAGGTTTGAAAAATCTCTTATGTTTATTGTTGCCAAAGAGATGCTGTGTATGTTTTCACCCCATTGTGAGGACAGACAGGAAGCTCACTGGCCTTGAACCAAAGGCGCAAACGTGCGGGAGAAGCTTTGGTTGAGATACTGTCATAATGTGTGCCCCAACAATGACCTGGTCACGTCATTACTTTCTGTACCTTCTATCAATTACAAATAAAATCTGGTTTACACATGTTAAATATATTGGCCCATTTTTTACGTGTTTTTAAATAAATGTATTTATTTACACATGTAGACGCTAAAATCTTACAGAGTTGTTAAAGAGTTCAGATGTAAAATTTAAAGAGTCCTTAGATTCATTTTGGACAACCAACAAATACTGAAGAACTCTGATATTAAATATAAGTTTTTAAATCCATGTATAAAACAAGACAGTCTCTCATCTTCATTGTCTGTGCTAAAAGGTGCAATGGGAACCATTTTTGCACTCAAAACCTATTAAGCCACCAAATTCAAGTCACATGGTGTGTAAAGTCTTCTATAGCAGCGGTCTCCAACCTTTTTTGCGCCACAGACCGGTTTGTGCCCGTCAATATTTTCATGAACCGGCCTTTAAGGTGTCGCAGATAAATACAACAAAATAAAACTGGTACCGGTACCGAAAAAAAGAAGATTTATTCATAACACACGTGAAAAGACCCAGGAAAACAGAGTTAACGATAAAAACGATAACAAAATAATGCTGAAAAACATACATTTCACACCTGAGCCTCAACTCTCGCGGACCGGGGGTTGGGGACCGCTGTTCTATAGTATAAATGTACCGTATATTATATCAACTTAACAGGAATGTAAAAATACAGAAGATTAATATGTTTTCAGGTTGCTTGTGAACTTCCTGGGGCACAGGAAACATAATCGATAAGATAATCGATGTTATTTTTTCAAAACATTTTAGCATTATAGTTCTCTTACAGGACTTCAATTTGGGCGAGCGGGTACAGTAAGTAAAAATTCAATATAAGCGTGGGTTAGAAGAAAGGCCGAGGATCAGGTAGAAGGGTCACGAAGGCCATTATATGAAGAAACTTCTTGGTGAGTGTCAAATCCAACACCCATTTCCATTTGTCCTTAAACCCACAGGAAGACGATCTGAAACTAAACTCTGTGTTTTTCCATAAAGAATTTTATATTTCAAACAAGTGGATTCCTTTAGGACACAGGTGTCGAACTCCAGGCCTCGAGGGCCGGTGTCCTGCAGGGTTTAGTTGTGTCCTTGATCCAAAACAGCTGATTTAAATGGATAAATTACCTCCTCAACATGTCTTGAAGTTCTCCAGAAACCTGGTAATGAACTAATCATTTGATTCAGGTGTGTTGACCCCGGGTGAGATCTAAAACCTGCAGGACACCGGCCCTCAAGGCCTGGAGTTCGACACCCCTGCTTTAGGACATCAAATAAGTAGAAAAGTTTTAATCTCTCGACTTCTATCGTTTTAGTTTTAAAGGTTTTACTCTTCCAGCACTATTGTTCTTCAAACTGTGTTTTCTTCTAAGTGAATCATAATGGGATCAGATGACTCTGTGTAACCAAAAGGTTACAGCCCATCTGAGATAATGTGCCAGGAATAAAAATGGGATTTATCAGGTGTAGCATTTCGCCTGCATGTAGGATGACTCAGGATATCCCAGCAGAATATCCAGAGAAACGATGCTTTTGTTGTCAGGAGGAAGGGTGAAGTCGATGCATGGTACATTCCCATCATCTGTACACTCTGTGTCATGCAACTCACTGAGGACAGCATGTTAAAGGGAGCCTGTTGTGCTCAGTTCCAGCTCCATGTTTTTATTTCTGAAGAGTACCAGCCGAGCTTTGCGTGTTTACAGCTATCATTATTTATCTTATTGTGCGCTAAAACTTTGACCACCTTTAAAATTAATGAGGAAAAGTGTAACAGATCAATTTTAAAGTTTCTCAGGGTTAAATTTTTGATCATTATAACAGATAAAAAAAACAACACTGCACAATATTGTTAAATTCTTGATTCTTTATTGTCAGAATTAAACTAAAAAACAAACAATTTGTTTACCATCAACTCACATCATTATAGTGTAGACTGCCAATACAGTACTCCTTATGTTACATTAACGTAGGTTTTATTGGTTTTCATATTTCTGAGTCACATAGTTTTCAGCTAATTTCTTATATCTCCCTGAAACATAACTGTAAAATGAGCTGGGACATGTGGGATCATCTAAAAATAAACAATGCAGATATTTCCAAAACATCCCGTGTAATTTTGTATTAACTATAGGGAAACTGAAGTGTATGAAGACTTGATGATTTTAACTATCGAATATATTATAAAAACAATAAAGCATATAGTTGAAGTGAAAAACTGTTTTTCATGAATTGATCTCAATAATCAAGAACAGTTTTCTTAGAAAGACAATTATTAAAAATGATTATCATAGCAGGTCAGAGCACAAAACTGAGTGAATAACTGCATCACCCAATGCAGGTGAATCATTATGGATATATAGTATATGTACCTCTGTACTACACAAGTACTCTGATATAATGAGAAGCTACCAGCATGATCTCTGCAGAATCCAGAATTTGATTTGTCCTCATAATTAATATAAAACAGTGGAGTTTTTTGGAAATATCCTCAGACATATACAGCTGAATACCGAGTTAATAACTGAATACTGACTTTGGGGAAAATATGTGTGAAAAATTCCAGAAACTTTAAAAATAGCCTTAAAGGAAATCTCTTCTTCCTTTCTAACGTCTACATCCAGGTGAGGAAGTCGAGTTTTATTGCCATCTAGTGGTGGATACATGTTTTGCATGCACATACAATAAGGTGCATGATGGTTTTGATATGTAGTCGTCGGAGTAGAAAGAGCACAGCTGATTACATCCATGTGTAATAACAAGCTCCGTCGTTCACTACATTGGAGGTACGGGTCCTTTAATAAGGGCGGAAAGTACTGAGGCTAATTCTGCTAATATGAAAAGTATAAAAACAAATAAATCAGACTTGTAATTGTTGTTTAAATCGGGTTTAAAAACAGTTACATTCAAATTTGTTTCTTCTCAAATCTCAAAGTCTTAATTTTTATTATTGTGAATAGGAAACACCTCATAGTCCTGTTAACTAAAATTTACAGATGAAATTCATCAACAACTTAAAAGAAATCTGGATCTCTGAAGGCTAAGAGAAAAAAAGTATTTTTATGTCAGTCCATCACTTATTAATAGGAATTAAAATTTCAGGTCTGACCCTCTGATGAATGACCCTCATCCACTGAAATATTTTTAAAGAGGTATTTTTTTTTATATATTTATAGAGATATTTTAAAATTCCATTAAAATTATATTAAAATACTCAGATAAATATGAAACTTTCAAAATGTCCTATTTTGAAAACGAGCCTTTCACAAATTTTGGATATAATTTTAAGAAACACATGCTTGAAAGATGCAAGGACAAAAATTTTAAAAACAACTTTCACATCCTGGAATAATTTTCTGAGAAAAAAAAAAATAAAGCATTTTTTAAAAAAAAGTAATAAAAGTTGAGACCTGAAATTTTGCATAATTCCTGATGTGTGTCCTTCCCCTAGATATATATTCAGCAGTTAAGTAGTTCAAACCTGTTTTCCAGTTTGCTATTCCAACATGAAGGTAAACCAAACCTAACACGAGCAGGTTAGGTTAGCATAATTGTTCATGCTAATGAAAAATAATCAATAACTCAATAAGTGGGAAAAGCAGAGGGATGGTGTGATTTTTCTAAATGTAGTTTCCAGTGCTTTATCAAGTTATTATTACACCCCACTTAAATCTAAGATTTAAATGTATTTTAAATTCTTAAACGAGTAAACCACACACACCGAAACGAGCACATCTTAAATGACCTCAGTGCAACCAACACAACCTACGTTAGCGTGACCCTGTTTGCCTGTCAACGATTACCTTAAACTAGATAAACAACATGCAATTACAAAGTTTCTCCTGTTGATTGTGTTACTGAATTAAATCTCAGCTGAACATGTTGCTTTAAGAAGATCTTATAAAGTGCTCGTTCACTACGAACAATAACAATCAAACATGAATCAGTGAAATTCATTATTAAGTGTAGGTACAAACGGCGGCTTATCTCCTGCTGATTTCCTGTGAGTACAGAATTAGTTGAAGGTACAGTACTACGAGTAGTGTGCTTATCAGTTGTGATGCTATCAGCACAAACGTATTCTACAGATATCTTTTCCATATAATCTACCTTTCTGATGTGTTTCAGTACTTTTTTTTCTGCCGTCGTGCTTTAAGATCATCGGTCTCTGAATAAGACGTTTCTTATGGTGCAAACACTGGACTGTTTGACAAGCATGAGGTGCTCTTGCCAGGTGAAAAGGCAGTATTGAGAGGTGAGGCTCAAAGGTGAGACACCCAACACGGTGTGAAGCTTAGCAATTTTAAAGCCCTTTCATTGACAAGGCGAGAGGGGAGGAGCTGCGTTTTAAATGACCGTGAGTCTACATGGAGCTAGGCGTTAGTCTTTGGGTAACGATACGATACAAGAGGCAACAATTCTGACTTTAAAATGAACCACATGAGCCACGCGAGCAAACATCTGCTCTCATTCGTCTTTTTATACACCACATGCTCCCTGTAGGCTTTAAAACCTAAACCTAAAAAGTGAATCAGCTCCACTGCTGCTCATCTAAAATGCAACTTTACCAAAGTCACCAATCAACAGGAAAACCTCATCTTTCATTTTTGTAACTTTTGAATGTGGCTTCCTTGCTACGTGGTTAAATATAAAGTCAATCCTAGTATTTATTTACATTTTCTCCGGGCGATTACAGAG